GGTCGAGGCTGCGGTGGCCAGGAGCAGCCACTGCACTCCAGTCTCGGTGACAGAGTGAGACTCCAACTCAAAAAAAAAAACTTTTTAAAAAAGCATGATAATGCTGTTGTGATTATCTTGAGTGTTTTTATTTTTTAGAAATGCATACTGAAATTTTTTTTATATGATGGGTTCCTGGAATTTGCCTCAACAAAATACAGGAAATAGAGAACTTTATGGTGGTGGGTTGGCTATTGTTAAATGACTCTTAGGGCAGTCTGTTTCAACAAAACTTCCAGGTGATTCTGATGCACACTACAATTAGAGAACCATTGTTCTATACCCTTAAAAGAATAACAAAGTGGACTGAGTAGCATTTCCACCTTTTTTTTTCTTTTGAGTTGGGGCCTCACTCAGTTGCCCAGGCTGGAGTGCAGTGGCCGCTCCCGGCCACCGCAGCCTCAACCTGCTGGGCTCCGGCGATCCTTCTACCTCAGCCTTCCAAGTAGCTGGAACTACAGGCGTGAGCTACCACACCCGGCTAATTTTTTTGATTTATTGTAGAGATGAGGTCTCGCCAACTTGCCCAGACGGGTCTTGAACCCGCGGGCTCAGGCAGTTCACTCACTTTGGCCTCCCAAAGCGCAGGATTACAGACTGAGCCACTGAGCCTGGCCAACATTTCTACTTTTTAGGATTTTTTTTTTTTTTTAGTCATGATTTTGCACTTTTTCTCAGACTGGATTACAATGTCACAATCATGTCTCAACCTCCTGGGCTTAGGTGATCCTCCTGCTTCAACCTCTGAAGTAGCTCGAACCTCAGGCATGTATCACCACACCCAGCTAATTGCTTTTATTTTTTTGTGGCAATGAGGCCTTGCTTTGTTGCCCGTCTGGTCTTTAGCTTCTGGGTTCAGGCAGTTATCCCACCCTACCTTCCAAAGTGCTGGGATTATAGGTATGAGCCACTGCACCCAGCTCCAATTTTTAGGAATTATCATAAAGCTATAGTAATGAAGGCATTTATGCCAATATAGTGAAATAGGCTAATGAAATAGAATATGAATCCCAGAAATAAACCAACAAATTTATAAATAGTCCAATGCCACATAATATTGTGATCACAACAGACCCCATATACAACAGTGGTCCCATAAGTTTATAATACTGTACTTTTACTGTACCTTTTCTATGTTTACATATACAAGTACAGTTGACCTTTATGTGGTAGTTGGGATACTAGCCCTCTTTGACTACCTAAAACTAACTGCTAATAGCCTACATGCTGACCAGAAGCCTTACCAATAACATAAACAGTTGATTAAGATGTATTTGTTATGTCATATTTATTATATACTGTATTTTTACAGTAAAATAAGCTAGTGATGAGAAAACATTAAGAAAATCATAAGGAGGGCCAGGCACAGTGGCTCATGCCTATAATCCCAGTACTTTGGGAGACTGAGGCAGAAGGATTACTTGAATCCAGGAGTTAAAGACCAACCTGTCTCCCTCTCCCTCCTCCCTC